AATTCCAAAAAATCAATGTGGTCTGGTTTCACTCTTGAAAGTCCACAAATACGCTCGAAGTTTTGCCGGGGCCGCGCCCGCAAACAGGTTTAAGGCCCCGCCCGGACCCAGCACAGACGTCGCGTCTGGCTCTGGTAACGCACAGGCGGCTGAAAGGACAAAAACAGCCAGGCTCGCTAGCCCGCTTGGGATCCGCTCGGGCCAAGCACGGATGCTACGCGAAGCACCGCTCGGGAGTTCCGGGGCGAGCGCGGATACCACGCAAAGGCTTCAAACCTTCTTGCGGAAGCCATACAGTTAGAACACGCCAGACCCTCTTGCCCCTCTTGCATCACGCCTGCCAGCCCGTTTATCCCTAAAGCAACGCTTCTTGCGATTTAAAAGGACGCCCGTCGCGTTAGCCGAGTGTTGCATTATGTTGCATCCAAACGCAAACACATTAATTATCGTAACGGATAGTTAGACCCGTGTAAAGGCTTTACCCGCAAGAAAAGACAAGTCCATCATCCTAAAGAAGCACCGTCCTCTGATTTTACTCTTCAAAGCCCACAAATACGCTCGAAGTTTTGCCGGGGCCGCGCCCGTAAACAGGCTTGGAATCCCGTTCGGGCCGAGCACAGATGCGCGCAAAGGCACTCACTTGGGCCAGCTATGGATACAACAACGCGCAGGCGCCTGCAATGGCGTCTCAAAAATTGAATTTGGCTTGGGGATTCACAAACAACGAGCCCCTAAAAGCCTGGCAACTGCACCCCCGCCAGAATCATCATTATTTCGAAACATCCTGGGGGGGGGACGTGCCGCAGTTACGCCGATGAATGCCCTAAGGGAGAAGGCGCCCTTTGCCAACGGGATTCCGAGCTGGCTAGCGAGCCTCCGTTAACCGCCTGCGCGTTGCATCTCGAGTGGACTCCCAAGGGTTGCGATTCTTCTTGCTGTCGCAAGGGTGGCGGCGAGGTAGCGGATTTTTTAGGACTGATGCGCTTGGCCAGCGGAATCCGAACAAGTCTGCTTGGAAACTGTTGGAGAAGCCGTTGGCAAGCGTGATGCGAACACTCCTGGCTGACACGGCCAAAGAAGGCGCAATCGGGTCTAGCGTGTGCTAACTGTCTGCTTCGGCAAGAGTCTAACGCCTTTGCATAACCCGTACTCGCCCCAGTAGATCCCGAGCGGGCTGCGAGCTGGCCGTTTTGGTCCTTTCAGCCGCCTACAAGTAATGGGGGCATGCCACGCACTAAAACTGCTGCTTTGCCATTTCAGGAAGGGCAAAGACATAGTTAGGAGGAGCGCGTTGGCAAGCGTGATGAAGAGTCCTGGCTACCAGCTGAGATGGGCCTTACAAGTCAGCCTGAGCGAATTCTTGAAGCTTGCTTAGCCTGAACGGAAGCCCAAGTGCGTTTGCGCTTGCGTTTGCACATGCTTGTGCGTGGCATCCGCGTTTCTCCCGAGCGGGATCCTGAAAATTTTAAGTTTGCTCGCCAAGCTTTGCGCGGATCCATAGCCGTTGTATCCACCCGAATGGCCTTATCTGCGCCTTGGCGCGGCCACGTGTTTGGCCCGAGCGGGATTCCGACTGTGTCTGTTTTTGGTCCTCACAGCGCCTTTGCGCAGCGTCTGTGCTGCCCGAGCAGGATCCTAAGCCTCTCTGCGCGGCAAAACTTCGAGCGTGTTTTTGGGCTTTCAAGAGTAAAAACTAGAGCACGGTATTTTTTCAAGGATGAACTTGTTTTTTCTTCCGGGTAGAGCTTCCATATTGTGTCCTAGCCCAGCTTGAGTTTGCGTTTGCGTTTGCGTTGCGCGCAACATGATGTAATACTCGGACAAAGCAAGCTTCTTCATAATGTCAGTTGTTTTACTACGGGCGCGCTTTCAAGTCGCAGGAGGCATTGCTTTGGCGGTGGAGAAGCAGGCTTTTACGGCAACTGCAACAACACCTGCGCAACTCTGCAGCGCAGCTCTGAGTCTTGTCCTGCTTTCCTTCCTTCCTTCCTCCTTCCTTCCTTCCTTCCTTTTCTTCCTTCCTTCCTTCCTTCCTTTGCTTCCTTGCTTCCTTTGCTTCCATTGCTTCCTTTGCTTCCTTTACTTCCTGCTTCTGCTTCCTTTGTTTCCTTTGCTTCCTTTGCTTCCTTTGCTTTCTTTGCGTCTTTGCTTCCTTTGCTTCCTTTGCTTCCTTCGCTTCCTTGCTTCCTTGCTTCCTTTACTTCCTTTGCTTCTTTGCTCCCTTGCTTCCCTTGCTTCCTTGCTTCCTTGCTTCTTGCTTCCTTGTTTCCTTGCTTCCTTCCTTGCTTCCTTGCCCTCCTTCCTTCCTTCCTTCCTTTCCTTTGCTTCCTTTGCTTCCTTTGCTTCCTTCGCTTCCGTACTTCCGTGCTTCCTTCCGTCCTTCCTTAATGCCCATGTAAAGCATTTTGATGCCAAGCCTAATTTCAAAGACCTTGAACAATCCGATTGCTAGTTGGAGTGCTAACTGTTGGGCCTCACCACGGCTTGGAAAAAAAACGCTGCGCAAGCGCCCAAACAGTTAGCACTCAACGTTGGAATGCCGTGTGCTAACTGATTGATACCCACTATAAATAATAATAATTAATGAAAAATAGAAAAACAAAATAATAATAATATTTTAATAGAAACTTATCTCACCAAAATACAACCTATTTAAAATATAATATCCTAAAGAATATAATTATATAAATATTAATTATATATTAATCAATATAATCAAATTAATACATATTTAAAAATAAATATATATATATAATATATTATATGTTAATAATAACATCTTTCCATAAGATTCATAAAACCTCATTCCTTAAAATCCTAATACAATATAATATATTATTATATAAATAAAAATTTCAAAAATAAATAAATATTTAAATTTTAATATAATATATATATATATATATATAAATATCAAAAATACAAAAGCAACGATACATATTAATATATTGTTTATTGGTTTATTTGTATTTATTTGGGTTTTGTATTTATTTAGCTTTATGTATATATATATATATATGCTTATTTATTTATTAATTATTTTATAAATATTTATTTTTTAATATATAATAAATCAAATTAAAATACCAAATAAATATCATTTAATAATCGAAAAAACAAATGTAACAATAATCATTATTTACTCCATTAAAATAATTTAAAATAGAATTATAATTATTTCCTAAAATCAATCAATATAATTATATATTAAATATTCTATAAATGTATATCATCCAATATCTAAATAATCAGAAATATATATATATATATTAATATATATATATATATATATCTTATATCACTATTATATATTTTAAAATTCAAAACAGAATAAAATAATATTATATAAATATCAATATTCAAATAATATATAATTCTAATAAATAAATTCAATCAATAATTTAATTATATATATAATAAATATTATAAACTCATTATATTATATACATATCCAAAATTTACAAATATATAAATATATATATATATATATCTATTTATTTCTAATAAATTTCATAAATATATATATTTTATAATATCTTAGGATTCTTCTAAATTATATGGACGTTCGTAATATGAAATTAGGCTTTACGCCCGCCCTTACGCGGTCTTACGCCACAACAACCCCATTACAATTTATAACCAAGTACCTACACACAATCACACAACCAAATATAAGTAAACACAACCTACAAAATAAACGCCGGCATATACATAAGGCTAAAACCTCCTCACCAAAGAAAGAACTAAATTTAAGAATATTCTTTTCCTAAATTTAATTTAACCACCCAATTATTTCAACCACCGCTTTTAACCCCTACTTCACGCCCT